TGCATGACCACAGCCCCTACTGCTGAGCTCCCCACACTCAACTGGTGCCCAATGGAGCAATAGCTGTCCCATGTTGTGAGCTTCCAGAAGGCGATGGCGACCTGCTTCGGAGGGGGGAGGGGGCGGGGCGGTAGCTGGTCGCATGTGGATGTCCCATCGCTGGAGGGCAAGGGCGAGGCACTCGCAGAGCTCCAGGAAGGTGGCCTTCTGCATGCAGAAGTTCTGCAGCCACTGCTGGTCATCCCACCACTCCAGGACAAGCTGGACCCACCAGTTGGAACTGGTGTCCAGTCACCAGAAGTGGCAGTGCATGGTGTGCACAGAAGGGTGGGAGGGGTCGTGCTGCATGAGCAGCACTTGGAGAGAGGAGAGGAGGTGCCCCACAGGGTGTGGTGGGTCCTGTTCCTGCAGAGCCATGAGGGCAGCCTGCTATAACTGCAGCAGGAGGTATGGCATGGGGTCTAAGAGCCATCGACTGCTTGGAGGCAGGTCCAGCTCCATGGCTGGAGAGCTGTGGTGTCCGCAAGGGCAACCAAAGCAGGCAGTGAAAAGGCTTTGCTGTCTCTCAAGGAGGTAGCCAAAAGAGAGGAGCCTGCGACACGGCTGTACAAAGGGGTCCCTTTAACCACGAGCCTCAGATAACCTCAGGAAGTGATTGCTGTCATGATGCCCTGCCTGAAATGCTCCTAGGGGGCTTTAAATGTGATTGAGAGCCACTATGTGTGGACATGCTATTTGAAATAGATCAATGATATTTCAATGGGCATTTGCTGTGTAAATGTGCTATTTTGAAATAAGCTATTTTAGAGTTTTTCTTCTGAAATAGCTTATTCTGAAATAAACATGCAGTGTAGGTGTACCCTTAGTGGCCAGTGTGATGGCCTCCCCTTCTCATGTAAAATCAAGATCCCCAAGTAGTAACTCCTCAAATGCCAGGGATCTTCCTGTATTTTTATGGTAGTAGTGACTAGAAGCCCCAGTTCTGGATCAGAACTTCATTTGCTAGGTGCTGTGCAAACACATAAAATATGGTCCCTGTCTGAAATCGGTGCAGGTAAAGCATATTCTGTGATGATAGATACTTTGGAAAGGCAGATAGGTTAGCAAGATAAGTCACGTTTCCAATATCTGTAGAACTTCTGCACAGTGTAAAAATGGAGGCCTGGGCATGCTCTAATGTAATTTAGGCAAGAAACATTCATGTGAAAATGCTCTTCTGTGCAATATTGTCCTACACAGTCCAAAAAGTTTATGTCAGGGCTACTCAACTCTCCTGGAGCCCATTGGAACATAGATTTGATCAATTCAAAGGATGCCTGGGTTCAGGACACCATGCTGTCCAAACTGCTCAGCACATCTGGAGTGCTATTGTCCCCCTCTCCCATAATTGATCCACGTGGCAGTAGATGGTGTTACTTTTATTTCCCAGCAGCATGTCCAGAAGTAAGGCTCACTATGAGAAACAACAGTCTGAGGGGGATGATGCAATGCAAATAAAACAACACTTTTCTGCATATCTCTTCATGGATTCCACCCTTTTCCATGAGTTTTCCTACAGGAAGATCATTATAACTAATACTTTGTTGTCCTTAAGTTCTATAAATTGATTAAAATAAATTAATATTTATTTGCTGCCTTGCATCTAAGAAATATGCCTTTTGAGATGTTTAGAAAATACTGTGTACAGTATAGAACACATGAAATACTGCTTTGGAGATAGTGATGGGTAACTTTTTCACCTAGTATAGGTTGTATTCAGACCTTCAAGTGTTTCCATCTTGAGACTGTAAATGCCTTGGGCAGGGAACATGCCCAAAACATTCAACCCCAAGTGCCCAGATTTAACCTCTCAACCTCACACTTAGGTATCTAAATAAAATTGGCCTGATGTTCAGAAGTGCTGAGCTCCCACTGACTACAATGGATGTTGTCCATAGGTACTCGTATAGGCCAGGTCTAGTACGCAACTCCAGCTGTGTAAAGTAGCTAGAGTCAACCTATTTTAAGCTGAACTTGGCACCATCTTCACTGAGGGAGGACACTGAGAGCAAATGCTCCCATTGGCTTCCTTTACTCCTTGCAACTGCAAGGAATACTGGTGCGAACCCAGAGTATTCGATTTAGTGGGTCTTAACTAGATCCTCTAAATCAAATGCCAGAAGATCAATCTCTGGTGTAGTGAGTGGAGATGTGGCCTTTGACGGCTATTTAACAAACAAACAAACAAACAAACAAACAAACAAACAAACAAACACCAACCAAGCAATCAACCAAACGGTCTATGTCTATAGCAGCCTCTTGTGAAATACAAACTAAACTGCCAGCACTTTAAAAAGTGATTTAAAAGCACCCCCAACAAGTTTCTATCTTACCTGAATTCTGGGTTCTGCAATTTTTATTAAAAGCAGATGATTTTTAGCTTAGACCCAAGTCAAATCCCCAGTGGGGTTCACTCGTAATTGTCTGTCCCAGATGAGCATCAATATTTAAGGCTAACTGCAGGACCCATTTTCTTCCACTAGATGGCGCATTTACAAAGAAAACTTACCTTGTCTCCTTTCCAGGTATTGTCAGAACTTTTGGTTCATCGCCCTTCAGATACAAGTAACCCTGGGGCACCTTAGGAGACTAACAGATTTATTCGTGCATAAGCTTTTGTGGGTAAAACCCACCTCATCAGATGCCTGGGAGTGGTCTCTCTCTTGTGTAAAGTTTGCACGTCTGTGCGTTTTCCCACAGTTAATTTTGTTTTGATCCCAAGGTTCAGAGATACTCATGCACCCCATGCAGTCTGAACCACACTAAATATATGCCCGAAGAAACAGTTGCCCCCAGCCCCTCTAAACCAAACAAAAACAAAAAAGCTTTGATATAAAAATGGAACTTTAGTTACATCCAAACACACAGAAAGGTGAACCATCCTCACAGTAGCATGTAATCCTTCCCCCACCCAATTGTGAACATAGCCCATCATAATGGTGGAGTCCAACCCTCTGCCCAAAGTAGGACCAATCCCAACTAAATCACCCCAGCCAGGGCTTTGTCAAGCCGAGACTTAAACACCTCTAGGGATGGAGATTCCACCCCCTCCCTAGGTAACCCATCCCAGTGCTTCCCCACCCTCCTAGTGAAATAGTTGTTTCCTAATGTTCAACCTAGACCTCTCCCACTTACACAGTGCAATAAGCCAACTCCAGGAGTTAAGTGCGCATTTTCCCAGTAATTCACTTACATTTCAGTGCCCAGCCACTAACTGGGTTTCACCAGCTCAGTGAATTAATAGGAGGTTGGTAAACCTGTTCTTTGCCTAACTTTTCAAACTTACTGTTATTTCCAATCAACTTTCTAGTAAAAATCAGGAAGTCCTGTCATTGGGGTTTTTTTGTTTTGTTTTGTTTTCAGAAAAATACTATGAGCCGAACAATTCCAGCACCACACCCCTGTTATCATTTAGGTAACCCTCCCTGCGTGATATATTTTAAGAGGATAATAAAAGCCTCCATATCCACACCAAGCCCCTCCAACAAGCGAGCAGTGGCGAGGACTCCTGCAGCTCACGCGGCCCCCCCAAGCCCGACAGAGAAAGGTGCCGTAGGTAAGCAAGCTCCGGGAATGGGCACAGACGCTGCCGAGCCGAGGAGGCGAGAGAGCAGGTTAGGGAAGGGAAGGGAGAGCAGACCTGGAGGGCGCTTCAGTCAGCCTGGCTAGACTCGGGTGCCCCTCTCGCGGTCATTAAACGGATCAATCAAAAACGCAGTGGAAAGGGCACCCGGCAAAGTCTGGAGCAACAATGGGCTTGTTCTCCGGGCCGCTGTCTGGGGGCCGAGCCGGCCTTGGAGACGCGCAGATAGGATCTAAATTGCGCGGGCTGGCTCACTGGTGCTGAACACGGACGGGCTCTGCCCTGCCCCTCGCCTCGCCTCTCGCGGTCATTAAACGGATCAATCAAAAACGCAGTGGAAAGGGCACCCGGCAAAGTCTGGAGCAACAATGGGCTTGTTCTCCGGGCCGCTGTCTGGGGGCCGAGCCGGCCTTGGAGACGCGCAGATAGGATCTAAATTGCGCGGGCTGGCTCACTGGTGCTGAACACGGACGGGCTCTGCCCTGCCCCTCGCCTCGCCTGCCAGGGATGCTGCCGCCGCCGGAGGGAGGATGTCGGTGATAATGTGTTAATCCCGACTCGGAAATCGGGGGAGGAAATGGGGGGCAGGGAAACGAGATGGAAAACCTCAGACGTGGGGAGGCAGCAAGAGGGGAACATGGGGTGGGGGAGCGGCGGCGAACACATCACCCCAGCCTGTAGAGTGACCCCACGGAGCAAAGCAGGGACATTAGCCACACATACACCTTCAGACCCCCCCTTCCCCCCCGACAGGGCACAAAACCCCGCATCAACTGGGGGGGGGCGTGGGAAACCCTAAACAATGAGCTGGTGAAGAGGAGAGAGAAGGGAAGCGGATCACCCTAGCGAGAGAGGAGCGCAGTGCAGGTGGGTGCAGCTTAGCCTCCAGGAGGTTTGCACACCTTTGGGGGCTCTGCATGTCTTCTCCACGAGCCTAGTCACTGCTGGGCCTAATAAGGAAATTAACCTGTTACACTCCTTCTAGCTGGGACTGCGGTTCCGCGGAGTACGGGCTCCTTTCCCTGCTCCTGGACTTGAGGAAGGACTGCAAAACCCACCTTCCGCTTGGGGGAATCGCTGTCTCGTCTCTACAAGCAGGTGGTCTGTGGGCGATTTCTTATTCCCTTCTCCGCCACCCCTCGGCTGAAAACTCCCTCCTCTGGAGAACACGCCCAAGTAGCTGGAGAAGTGGGGAAAGAAGGGGGGGGGATAGATAGTAACATTGAACCTGAGGGGAGATTCAGAGCTGCTGCGTGCAGGGATCACTGCAGCCTATTCCCAGCACTAAAGTGTTACGTGTGACAGGCATACAAATCCGGAATAAAGAGAAAGAGAGAGAACCGGGAGGGGGGGGGAGAGAGAGAGAGAGAGAGAGAGAGGACACACACAGGGTGGGTGGGTGAGTGAGTGAGCGAGAGAGAGACCCAGCTGAAGGGATATGGTGTTTGTCTCCTGGGATTTACAAACACACACAGCCTGTTCAGATCACAAGGAGGTTTGTCTGTTTTGTCTGCACTACCTTGACCCGGAGCTGCACTGTCTGAGGAAACGCGAAATTAAGCAGCACGAATAGCATCAGAGGCATCATTCTGCATGGTGATCTGAAAACCAGCGCACAAGGAATATGAACAGGAAAACAAGGCGTTGGATTTTCCATATCTTTCTGAGCCTAGGGATTGTGTATATCAAAATTGGGTAAGTTATTTAAAAAAACACATAAACGATTTCGCTCTGGTGAACCTGCCCAGACCTGCTAATATTTAACCGGGAAAGTTTGGAAGACTGTTATAGCTTTAAAAGAAAGCCGAGCAGAAATGCCATTGCCCTGCAATGAAGTCGTGGTGTGTAGCGTAGCGCTGGGGAATGTGAAAGTCATTGGTGATGTGCCGGAAGCATGACTGGAATGGCAATGTGCTGGGGTTAGTTTTATGTTCCTTCCCTACCTACCGTATCCCCTGAAATCAAACCAAACTCCGCACCGCGCGGAGCGCTTGCCTGGGACCTGAAAGGACGCTGCGGGTGCTCGCTCTTCAGAGCGGCCGCCGGCTCCCCACCTCTTCCTTCCCGGGCCATGTGGGGAAACCAGCTCTGCCCAGGTGCACGCTACTTGATGGCGGTGCTGACCTGCACTTGTCCCCGATTGCCCAGTCCCGCGTCCTTAGCTGCCGGCCCACGGAAAGCCCTGAGGGGCTGCCAGAGGGAAAGAAAACCCGACCCCGCGCCCCGGCTCCCCAGACCGCCCCCCAGCCTCGCCAGCCTGACACCGCGCCCAAAAGCGAGGCGGTGCGCTGCCGGGAGCGGGCGGCGGGCCAGGACCCCAGGGGAGGGGCCGCTTCATTTCACAGCTTAATGCAATTAACGCGGATAATGACAATAAAAGCCCAGCCCGTGGAGCGCGCGCCTGCTCCGGGCGCCGGGGCGGATTGCGCGCTCCTGACGCGGGAAGTTGGCCACGTTTTGGCAAAAGCCCCCGCGCGCTTCACCTCTCTGATAATGATACACCCAAAAAGTGATGGGAGGGGGCGCGGCGAGGCGAGGCGCCGAGGCCCGTGGCGTTGACCCCCTCTTCCCAAGTCCGTCATTATCCCGCGGGCTCGGCCGGGGGCGCATCCCGCCCGGCACAGCGCGGCGGGGTCGTGGCCAGGGGCTGGCGGCCTGCTGGAGTAGGGGGCGGGTGCAAAGGCAGGGAGCGCCTGAGCGAAGGGTTACGGAGGAGCTGGAGCTCTGTCCTCTGCCGGGGGTCAGCCCCCTTCGGCCCAGCCCAGAGCGGCTAGAAACCCGCGTGCCGCGGGGGAAAGGTCCCGTCGCGGCAGGACAGCGCAGAGCACCGGCTGGACGCGCTCTGGGCTCCGGGCTTTGGAGCGAGAAGCTGCCCCGCTCTGGCAACTGTAAGCAGGCGGCTGCCGCCCAGAGACTCGACGGGCGGGGAGCGCCCCCGGGCCAGCGCTGCGTGCGCTCAGTCTTTCCCCTTCTTCTCTCATTTCAGGGGCTTCTCCTCGGTGGTGGCTCTGGGGGCCAGCATCATTTGCAACAAGATCCCGGGTCTGGCGCCCAGGCAGCGGGCCATCTGTCAGAGCAGGCCCGATGCGATCATAGTGATCGGAGAAGGGTCTCAAATGGGAATCAACGAATGCCAGTTTCAATTCCGGAACGGACGCTGGAATTGCTCTGCCCTGGGGGAAAGGACCGTCTTTGGGAAAGAGCTGAAAGTGGGTATGTTACCTCTTTTCTGGTTACTGCAAGGTTGGCTCCTGTAGGTCCCCCAGAAGGTTAGCAGCACATCGAAATGTCACGAATTACACATGCTAGACCTGCCAGGGCATCCACTCAGGGCCAGCCACTGCAGGATCGTTCATAAGAACGGGCATACTGGGCCAGCCAAAGGTTCATTTAGCCCAGGATCTTGTCTTCCAACAGTGGCCAATGCCATGTGCCCCAGAGGGAATGAACAGAACAGGCAGTCAACAAGCCATCCCCCTGCCGTCCATTCCCAGCTTCTGGCAGACAGCACCCTTGCCTAATAGCCATTGATGGACTTATGTACTCATGAAATTGTTCTTTTTTGAACCCCGTTAAAGTCCCTTTAGGGTATTTTCACCTGCCTCTTCATGTGGGATTACCAAAATAGATACCTGTATTTTCCTTATAAGAGATCTAGTGAAACCCTCTGAAAAACTTTGTGTCAAAATGACTTCTTTGTCATGTAAGTGGTGTGTATTCCATTGTCTTATACTTGTAAAGCCTGTGGCCTTTCTATAGTTTTCCCCTCATGTATGTATTACACACAGTAGGACATAGGGATTTGGATCTGGGTAGGGGTTTTGTTAGGAGATAGGGCACACAGAAAGCTCATGAGTCATTCTCTGTAGCTATGAGCCCCAAGGGGTAGAGCTATTACAAGGTCAGTGCCTTATGTGAGATTTACACTATTCACAGCAGGATGCTCATTATAATTATCTGTTTAGTTGGTGAGAGACTGGCGCCTTTGGAAACAGAGTCAGAAAATGGGTACTTGCCAGTTTAGAATTCAACCTAGCCGAAACCTTAGATGCAGCTTCTACTCTGGGCATGCCAGTCTGAACCACATCCACAGTCAAAGGGGTTCTAATCTGACGTTCCAGTTTCTCTCAGTCGTCCTAATAGCTGAAGCTACATTTTAAAATTGCACTCAAATAGCAGCAATAAAAATACACATTTAGATATAAGGAAGTTTTGAACAAAGATGGAAACACTGTCCTCATATCTATGTATTGCAGAACTTATGGTACCTGAGGGCTTCTTTGTGTTTGTTGATCATGGTACCTGAGGGCTTCTTTGTGTTTGTTGATCATGTGATACTTAGGAACAACGAGAAGAGTTAAGGATAAACTCTTTCCAGTCACAATTAAACAGTCACTGACTCCAATATAAGTTTCAGGTCTGACAGTGACATCCATAGTTCTGGGGTTCTATGCTTTGAACAGTGAAAGTGCCTAAGTACCCAATAAGTTTAGATTCAAGGATCTGTTGGAGGAGGGAATACTGTCATAACAGAGAGCAAAGGTATTCTACAGGGCTTTGGAAGCAGGATGTAGCATTGGCAAGGTGAGGAGTCAAGTGTGCCATGGGCATTTTTAAATCGGGGGCATGGGACTTTTTGATTTGTTGTGCAGAGCCTTTGGTTTGTTGAGAAGCCCTTTGGTTGGATTGTATTCTGGCCCTATTTTGTCTTAATCACCCAGGGCAGGGGGACCAGGGCAGGATATGGCCTAAATATAACACCGCATGCACCCAAGAATCCCAACAAAATCGATGGGAATTCTGTATGTATGAAGAACGCAGCATTGGCATCTATATAGCTGAAGTTCCTTGCTTAGGGAGGCATAAGTAAATATTGTAGTATTACTCATATATATGTGTGTGTGTGCTTTCCACTGCTCCTATTTTTTTGCAAAAATAAAAACAGTGAAAAGTCTAACAAGAGTATTTACTGAAGGCCAATAGATTCTCAACCAATCTGGGTGACCAATCTGAGAAACAGTGCTTGATTTTCAAAGACTGAGGCATACAACATTAGTGAACACTTCTCAAAATGTGCCCATTACACCGAAAGACTATAACTGCTTCTATAGAGTTGCTTCATTCCGGCCATTGGTTTACAGAGGCATGTTTCTGACTGACCTCCATGACAGTTCTGCTTGGAAGGCTGGTTGGAATTCACTGCTCTAATCTCACATATTGGTAAAAAGAAAATTTGTGTACCGGAGAGCCACAAAGATGCAGAGTTATTGTGGTATGGTGTGTAAATCCTGTGAGTTTTTTTTTCAAAATTGATTTAGCTGGTAGGTTATATTTAGGTACTTTTAAAGAAAGTCAATATTACAGGAAGTGGATTTGATCCAGCTTTGAAGTGTTAACTCAGATCTAATTACCCATTATAATGTTTATAGAGGTAGATGTATTCAAAGAGATCAGGCCATATTGAGCCTTGAAGTAGCTCAATTAACTTCATAAATTATGCCAGGATTGATGTAGGCCACAGTGAACAAAATTCACTTTGAATGCATAAGCAACAATGTTCAGATTTAAACAATGTTTACACTTGCATTTAAAAATATTCTACGTGCAACTTGCTAGCAAGGTGTGTAAGAAAAGCAACCCCACATGAAAAAGCAGCTGTTTTGGAGCTCAGGAGTACATCCTTGGGCTAAGATCTTTAATGGCAAGTTTGATTACAGTGTAAACTGTTATGGCTGAGTTAACTTGCTGAAAAATAGTGGGTCTATTACTGCCACTAAATATTAACATTAGTGTAATCATTTGTGTTCCACAGATTTTCCTCTTGATCTTGTTTCTTGTCTATATATCAGCATGTGTGGAGACCCCTGTACATGTGATTCATTCCATATCATTTTATCAGAAGAGAGGGGGGAAGTTCAGTTCCTAGCCTTCTCTAAGCTGCTCAGTGTTTTCCATAACCCTTCATTAACTGTTTTTTCCACCTCCCTAAGACCTGTAAAGTACCAGTATGAACTACAATTTATAATAATCTAAGCTAATATTTCAGTATATTAAGGACAAATCCTATATCTAGTAAAGGCAAAGTTCAGATTTAATGCTCATGAGTAAGATAAGATAAAAGAGAAAGTCTCACATCTGTTACCATACATACTGGGGATGGGGACAGGATTTCTACTTTCTCATTCCTTTCACAGGATTACTTCAAAGTGCCATTAGAATGGTATAAGCGTAGAAGGTATTAGTGCATGAAGACTGATGCTTCTCAGCATGGCTGAATCTTTAAAACTGTTACCTTGGAAGTATGCAGGATACCACTAGTCCCACAACTGCAATTTGCAATAAAATCATTAGACCGCATGACATCATTCTGCTTGCTCTATTAGATGACTGCCATTTGACTTTAAAGTGGCACTGTTGTGCCTGTGCTAAGATTAGGATGCAAATTCAAAATGACTGTAATGTAACTTGTTGAAATACCATTGCATCATTCAGTGATTACAGCACGAATGTATATGTGTACTAATACTATACTAATTACCCACAAAGAAATGCTATCAGTTTGTAAAGCTATATCATATAACTCCGATGCTAACTGGAGCTGTGTGTGTAAATCTATGATAATAGGTTACCTTGACAACAGCATATTCATGTTCTATACATAGTACTTACCGTTAAAAAAGGAAACAAAGACCACCTCAGGAATGTTTAGACCTAGGAACTCTAACTTCACTATCTGGAAAGATACTGCGACAGATTATTGGACAGTCAATTACTGTTCATCTAGAGGATAATAGGGTGATAAGAAATAGCCAACATGGATTTGTCAAGAACAAATAATATCAAACCAAGTTAAGTTCCTTCTTTTACAGGATTACTAGGGGAAGCAGTTATATATCTTGATGTTAGTAAGGCTTTTGACAGAATTACACAACATTAGGGAAATGTGGTCTATAAGGTGGCTGAACAACTGGTTGAAATACCATACTCAAAGGAGTAGTCATCAGTGGTTACTATTCAATATTTGGATTAATGACTTGAATAACTGGGTGGAGAATATACCTATAACATTTGTGGCTGACATCATTCAGGGAGCAATTGCAAGAAGTTTGTAGGAAAGGATTAGGATTCAAAATGACCCTCACCAATTGTATAATTGGTCTGAATTTCAAGTAAAGATGAATTTTAGTAAAGACAAGTGCAAAATACTGCACTTAAGAATGAAAAATTAAATGCACAGACACAAAATGTGGATGATTGGCTAGGCCTAACCCTTCTCTCTGACTCAATTTACCCATCTATAAAATAGGGATAAAAATGTTGACCACCTTTGTTAAGATCATTGAGATCTATGGATTTAAAAGCACCTTATAAGAGTTAGGTATTATTGTTTATCAACTTTTTTTGGAAAGTCACATATAACTTTGCTAATATAGCTTTCAAAAATAGTTTTGGACAAGGGATTATAGCTAGATACCACTTAAATTTATTTACTATCAATGTGGCATATTTCTGTTCAGATGCTGGAATCCCAAATATACTCATGAGTCTCTATCCCATTTACCACATACATTTCATTTCTAATATTATGCAGTATAGTTTATCCTTCAAGGTCAAGGCTTCACTGGTATTTGAATGTGGCTATTTGACCATAACTCTTAGTAACATCAACAATGCTGATGATGTGCTGATGCAATTCTGGATGTTTTTTAAATTAACAAATGCTGCATAATAGTGTCCATACGTCAGCACTGAGGAACTTTCCATCACCAAAGCAATAAAATCTTCAGAGTAAGAGAGTCGAAGGATTCTGCTCACATCTATTCAAATGACACGTTAGAAAGGATTCAAAGGCCTGATCATGCGGATGGGTCTTTTGCAACAACAGGAAGCTCAAATTTGGGCTTTTCTGAAACATAAGAAGAGCAAATTCAACCATGAGGGGTTTCCACTGAATACTCGCCAGTCCAACCCAGAGGACATAACACATGCACAGAGCGGTGGTAAACCTACTATTTGCCATAGCTGTAATCAGGAGATGAACAGAGTGTTACTCTCTCAAATAACTGAGTCCTGACTCCTAGAATATGACATTGCTAAACTGATGAGATAATGCAAGAATGTATGGAAAAGATGTTTCTCTTTCTGATGACTGAAGTGACACTGTGGCTACGTCTACACTGGCCCCTTTTCCGGAAGGGGCATGTTAATTTCAG